CCCCCCCACCCCCACCACACACACACACACATACACAGATAGCCATTTGATCTATAGAATTTACCTATCACCTGCAAGAAACAACAAATTCTTTAATTAAGTATAGCCCTTCACATCCATACATCTAACTACTGGAAATTTTAAAGAATTGGAACTAACTGAACATAAAAACCTCCTTAGAAAAACTGTTCCACAAGTGTATAACTAACCAAAAATAAAATCTGTGTTAAAACATATTTACACATAGGTTTTCAAAAGATAAGTCATACTACCTCTAATATTCATGGTTGTATTTCCAGACTTACCAATCCACCACTCAGTCAAATAACACATATGAAGACTGTCAAACTCTGTCAGTTTTTAACACCTGAATCAAGTCTAATTGTTTAACATTGAAGAAAAAATAAGTCTCAAATGGTTAGTTTAAATAACTTAAACCAGATTCCCTTCTTAAACAACTTTTTATGTAAAGTTAATAAGCTCTCTTAACCTGTAGTAATCTGTTTTTCCAGTGTATATACTTCCTTGCTTCATATTTATACCAATTGTCTATTACATGCCAGGGAAATGCTCTGTCAACTGAGCTAAAGGGTTAATTCCCTTACAGCTTGCTAATAAGTTTTTGACTACTCAAACTGCTACAATCCTAAAAAAAGAAACTCACAATTAAAAGATTTAAAAAACACCTGTTTAACTGACATTCAATGCAGGCCTGTAGCCAAAACTAGAGCTGGGTAATTAGTGGAATTTGATTATTAGTAAATTCATTCAATTTATTGATTATACTCATATGAGTCTTGGATAGATGGAATAACCAGAAACACTAATTTCAGTTAGTTAATTATTTTCATAGCTTTGATTTATATAATTGTACTTTTGGTTAATTGATGTAATCAGTGCTCATATACAGTCAAGTTAAGATTTAGCCAAATCCAGCCATGTTTTTTTAAATCTTTTATTTGTATTTTTTTCTTTTTTTGGTAATCAAGTGTATTAACTTTATGTAAAATTTTCTTTGGAAGTGTCTTTAAGTACTCTTAAAGGAGAAGTATGCTGTTTAAGTGATGCAGGTTCCATTCTAATAGCCTAACATATGCATGCTTTCCAACATCTTGATATTCTTTCTCTATTAAGGGGACTAAAAATGTTCATATCAGACATCAGTTTTATACTTGGTTACTTCACCCTTAAAAGGTTTTATGCAAGTCTGAACAAGATATTTTTTTCTACATTAAGATGTTTTGCCTTCAGACTGAATATTAAAAATCCTATTTTGTTAAAAAAAACATCACCACAAACTTAAGAAAAAATATAAAAGTTTTTTTTTAGATTTCAACTATTTTGGCTTAATATTTTCTAAGTGGCAAAGCATATTGTTCAGATGTTTATTACAGCACTACTAGACACTTAGTCCTTGAGGCAGATGTAAGCCAGAATGTTGGGCTCTATAATTAAGTTTTTATTTTTCTGAAGCTTCTGCCCTCCAGTGGCACAGCTGTATGTCTGTGGACTTCTACTGCTAGAAACTGGGTTTTGATACCCGTGGTGGGTATAGCACAGATAGCTCTTTGTGTAGCTTTGTGCTTATTAACAAACAATAACTGAAGCTTCTGGCCACATATTGTATAATAATAGTAAAATACTTTTATCTGAGATATTGTGAGAAGCGTCATAAGATGGTCCCTTGCAGCTTCATTTGTTCTTGTGGTTAGGACCACTAACCACAAGATAGATTAGTTTCAAATGCTAAAAATTTGAGAGTATGGGGTAGTGAAAAGGTTTTGGTCACTTAAAAAGGATTGGCCTTATGGGTCTACACTTTAAGAATTCCAATAAGTAGAATTAAGTTAAACCTCTGTTTGTACCTTTCACTAATAGCTGAACATTCAGCTAGCAAATAACTTTTGTAATTTATCAACAATCACACTTAAACTGATTTCTTTCTCCACAAGGCTAATGCTTCTCCCTCACAGTAAGTCAAATTTCAAAGCCCTACGTGCATAACTTTCCATTTTTGATATTAAAACTAATTTTGGTATATTCTTAAGAATTGTCAAGGTGACTTTCAATAAGAAAAGCATTCTCAAGGGAATAATCTCTTCTGAGCATTTTATTTTCATTAATGAATATAAAATTATTGCTGTCTTTTTTCTGTTTGTTTGCCATTAAGTACAAAGCTACACCTTGGAATATCTATGCTGTGCCCACCATTGGTATCAGAACCCAGTTTTTAGCATTGTAAGAACACAGATTTACTGCTCAGCTGCTGGGGGCTGTTACTGTCTGAAAAGCTGTCCGAGTCTTAGACCTAAATAATGAGCAACTAATTTGATATAAATGGTTAATGTGCATTCTTTGTATCAATATCTAGTAATTTTTTAAAAAGTATTAACTTTAGCCATATAAACGTAACATCACTGACCGTATTATGAGTAAGCCATGTTTTCCTACAATAGCTGTCTTAAATAATTATAATTTGTACAGTTTTCTTCAAAATTTCATATTGAGTGGAAGTAATTTCTTACTTTTTGTAGACTTGAGTACATAATAAGAAAATATATTTAGATGTTTTTATGTAATGACCTCTCAAACAAGCTATTTTTATAATAACAGGTTAATTTATGTCTCATATTTAGAATTATCAAATGGTATATTTTTTATAAAAGTGTAACACAAAGTGGAATTCCATACAGTAATATGCTGTTTCAATAAATTATTCCCTGTCTTATAGTGCTGTTTTAGGTTATAACATTGTATAGTGCACTTTATTTTTACGTCTTTATTTTAATGTTTCAGCTGTGGCAGTTCAATGATACAAAGGACACCGGAAAACTTGACATAAGTACAAATGAATCCTTTCCAATATCCTTTATGGAAATGAGTTGGCAGAACATCAATGAGACTATGACTTGCAGTAGTGATCAGTGTTCAGTGTCATTTGAGACATCTTCTGTTGATACAGATTACTTCTTGCCCAATGGTTCTTTTTCATTTCAGGTGAGCTAAATTTTGTCTTTCAAGTATCTTTTTTTTATGTAATATTGGTTGAAAAGAAAGCTTTGTGAAGCTTTTGAAACAAGGAAGTTGTATTTGTAAAATTGTGTAGTGTAAAGTTACTGTTTTAAACCACTGTGATTTATTTTTCAGAATGTTATCTGTTAATATTTTAGTTGTAAGATTGATTTTCTTCATATAGAATATGAATGAAAAAAGGTTTGTTTTCACTTATTTTTATCAGCTTGTAAAAAATCTTATTATGTACAGTAGATGCTTTGATATAGTAACATTCTAAAGATATTACATATATATGTTTAATTGGTTGTCACAGAAAAAAGTTTATTCAAATCTTATAATTTTGGAGTAACTTAATAAGTTTTCCTTCCAAAATAAAAAACAAAAATCTTTAAGAAATATAAAATACAAGAATTTACAAGTTGTGCTTTTGTTACCAAATAGGTAATACATTAATACACTTTATAAATTCAGAAAGGTTTCAAAAATTGAATCAAAATTTTTACTTTTATTGTATTAATTAAAACATTTATTGATATTCAGCACAGTAGTATGATTCTTATATTGATAATCGGACAGTAATCTATCACATTTAATTAAGGACAACCACACTGTTGGGTATACAAGACTGTTAGTGTAAAAGTTATTAGGTAGTTCATTTAGTGATCTAATATTTAATGATTATATTAGTTTTTATAACAAGAGTGTTAAAGTTAATTATTTTAAAGGCGATAGTTATAACAGATTTCGTTACATAACTCGGTAAGAGTTGTATGTTGTGTGTGAAGTTCAATTGTTATAGTATTATTGATGTCTCTTTCTTGAAACCTCCAAGTTTTTCTCACTATGTGAGTATTGTTACATCATAGCATCTCATAGTTTGTAGAAAGTTCCATGCCTCAGTTAGGCAAATGAGTGCAAGTAAGAAAAGTTCAATCAAGAAAAGAAAGAAAATGTCAAGTTAGCTGGTGTGTGAGTGATTAGCTTTAATGGGTGATTTCTATAGTGTGATTCACAGCTGTAATGTAACAGCATAGATAGGAAAAATAATTTGTTTTGTCAATTGGGTTCTAAAGTAACTGAACCAGCCTTTATGGACTTTTGACAAAAAAAATATATACAATTATTTAAAGCTGGTAACCAAGACTGCTTGATTGTTAGTTTAGCCATAACAGCCAACATTTTAAAGTGAGTTTCACAGTTTAACGTAGATAAGGAGAATAATTTGTCTTGTCAAATGGTGTTCTAAAGTAACTGAACTCGCCTGTGGAGATTTTGATGAAAAGAAGACATTTATTTAAAGTTCTGCGTACAACTGATAGAGGATTGTATGGGATAACATGAATCACAGATTATACAGTAAGAAACAGAGTCAAGAGAAATAATTTGTTTTGTCAGTTGGATTCTAAAGTAATTGAATCAGCCTGTGTGGATTTTCGATGAGAAAAAAGAATTATTTAGAGCTTACCAAATGCAAAACTTCCACTAGTAACAAGAAGTTTCATATTGCATTATTATCTATCATTCCTTTAAACTTTAAAATTTACTGAATGGTGCAACATTTACCAAATGCTATCCACCTTCCTCCTGATGTTGGTTTCCAGCAGATATGGTGATGATTATGTTAGATGTGCACACATGATTGCTGATCCTTGGTACAGAGGCTCATCTTCCCTACCAGTTCCTATATCAGAGGTGAAAAGTAGAGGACCTCTTTTTACCTTGGGCTGGATATCCCTATCATAGTTCACTTGGTGTTGGTTGAAGTTGATCTCCATTTACTATATGATGCATCCTAACCACTCAAAACCTGGGGTTCCTTAATATCACGTATGTGGCCAGGTACCCTTGATACATTCTCAATGCTGCCTGGTGATGAACTGGAGATGCACCCCCACTTTGCTTTCCATCTTCCTACCATTACTTGGATGTAAGTTCCCAGCAGGTATGATGATGGTTGTGTTGAATGTCACACATGATTAAACTGGGGAGGTCCCTTCTTTGTTTTTTCCCTTATTGTGACAAATTTCTCATGGGTGAAGAGTATACTTGGTTCAGAAGTGGTGTGGTCTCCAACGGGGGTGTTACCCCTATTTATTTGCACTACCTATGGTCTTCCTTTGGACGCTTTCTAAAGGGGATCATCTTCTCACTGGACCCTCCACTAATGCAATGTGGGATTCTAGCTATTTGTGAGAGAGGTAAGATATCGTATCGGAAGTTAACATTTTCCTAAACTGAAAATATATTTCCGACAGATACTTACCTCCGCTCATATTTCCCAACCATCATCTCCACTAAAAATAATATCTAATGTTATTGTTTTTTGTAAAACAATCAAAACATTTTAACATGTAATCACGATACTGATTTAATCTATTCTTAATATATTATCAAATAATAGCTGTTTTATCATGATATTTGTTCCTAGTCATCAGAAAACTTTCTAGATGTTGTCAGAAATTGAAAGTTAAGATGGTGTAGATTTCTAACCTTGACTTGTTCTATTACACATAAGTGACTAATACCAGGTCTTGAATGATCTGTCTCTTTTCTTTTTTATGTATTTAGATGACTGCCCATTCAAAGGATGGAAGAAATAATATTTTACCTCATTTGGAGCACACAGCCAGTAGTTCTCAACTTAATATAGTGTTGAATGAAATGAAATCACATTTTACTGGCAGTCGCTTTGCTTTAGAGTTTCTATTTTTCTCTTCTGACGTTTCACATGAAAATATTGATCCTATAGCAATAGAGAGCAGAAAGTCTGTTGATGATGAGTACACACCTGGTGTTTTCAAAGTATGTTTTGCAAACAACAAATCAATAGTTTAAAAATTACATGTTTTAATGACTTTTGATAAATGATAGAAGAGGATGGAGTAGTTGGCAAGTCAGTTTTACCCTATATTTATTTCAAACATTTATTATCTACATAAATCTGCAATTAGGACTTATGCAGTATATTTTTAATAATTCATTGTGTTATGCTACCCTAAATCATGTATTTTATATTGTTAAAATTCTTTGTAAAAGAATCAACATTTTACTAACAATTTATTATAAAATGTAACATCATACTGTACATTTATTTACTTAGTATTTTGTTTAGATATTCAGAGAATTATAACATAACATAACGTTTTGGGACAACATGGTATGTATTGGTCCATCTCGGCTGTTCCATCATCTAAACTAAATTAAAATGATTAAAAAAAGATCTTAAAGCCAGTCTTTTTCATTCAAGCTTTTTCTTAAACTCACTTAAATTTACTGCCTCTACAACATCTGAAGGCAACCCATTCCAAAGGCCAACAACCCTGTTAGAAAAATAAAACTGTCTTAGCTGAAGATGATTCCTATTTTGCCAAAATTTATATTTGTGGCCCCTAGTCTTATTATTTTCATTGCTAAATATAAAAAAAGATGATGCCTCCACACTATCAATTTCCTTTACAATCTTAAACACCTCAGTCAGATCCTCTCTAACTCTTCTTTTTTCAAGAGAAAACAATTTAAGAGATTTTAGCCTCTCCTCGTATGACAATTTGAGAGATTTTAGCCTCTCCTCGTATGACAACCCCTCCATCCTAGGCACCATTCTTGTAACCCTTCTCTGAACTCTTTCCAACAATTCAATGTCTTTCCTGAGATAAGAAGCCCAAGACTGAATACAATATTCCAAAGATGGCCTAACGAGTGACCTATACAAAGAAAGTATAACCTCTTTAGACTTGTATTCAATATTTCTATAGATACAACCTAAAATCCTATTTGCCCTACCACTAGTAACAGCACACTGCTTGGATGGCTTTGGAGATTGGTTGACTATTACACCAAGATCCCTTTCCTTCATAACACTGTTAAGGTTATTCCCATCCAAATTATACTTATAATTAAATTATGATAACTCACATGCATTATCTTGCATTTATTATAATTAAAACCCATCTGCCATTTATTTGCTCAACTCACTAAATGATCTAAATCCTTTTGTAAATCAGCAGCATCCTCTTCACAGCTAGCTACACCCAAGACCTTAATATCATCTGCAAATTTAAGTAATTTATTGACTATCCCATCATCTATGTGATTGATGTAAATCAAAAAGAGCAAAGGTCCTAAAACTGAGCCCTGAGGTATCCCACTTGTGACATTAATCCAGTTTGACTGAACTCCATTTATAGCAACCCTCTGCTTTCTTCTATTTTTTTTTTCAAACCTTTTATG